ACCAAATAGAAAATTGGTCATACATTAATCTCAAAACACTAATGCATGTGGCGCTGACGATTCAGCAGTCTATATAATTAGTACAATCAATGTTTGTTTGACAGAGAGCAATTCAGTGGAAACATATCCAACTGGAAGAAGCTAAGTCCAAGGGGTTAAATGAAAAGGAAATATTAATGATGCAAGGGAAGGTGCAGAAGGCATATGATGAACAACTCATACAAGTAAGCAAATGGTAAAATTTGATAGATCCTTCAATGTTCATTGAGTGGCAGATATTGGACTAGTAGCTAGCTAGAAATTAAGTAATGAATATAATAGTAGTAATTGCACAAGTCTTGATACAAGGAAAGTCAATTAAATTTGTGTTATGTTTGTGCCTTTAATTCTTTGTAGCAACCAGTTTCATGAATTCGTTCCGAATTATTTTGAGAAAATCCAAAGTCAAAATTTCATAGTGGTTTGTGGTGGATGCATCCATAGTCCACCACAAATCACCATTAAGAGTGCGGGGGCACCGCCCCCATGGTGGTATGGACCCGATCCATATTCATCTTATAGCTCCGAACCGAATACGAAGAGTTATGTATTTCTAGGGGCTTTCTCTCTTGTATATGGGTGAAGGAAAGGGGGCTTTCCTTCATCTTGGGTGAAGGAAGGACACTACAAGGAAGGGGACCTCGTCCTCAGAAAAGTTATGGTGCCCGAGCCTAGTGTGGGCAAGCTCGGCCCCAACTAGGAAGGTCCCTATAGAACCAAGCAAGTTGTCGGCCTTGGCACATTTCGACTTGTGTATTTGAATGAAAGAATAGTCCCTCGGGCATGGAACTTAGAGAAGTAGCGCGACTTGGCTAGCTTGGTGCTCGTCTTCCGTATGGATACGGCGCGATGACCCATCCCGCGCATGGCTCCGATCCGTAGCCCGTCTTAGGCATGGTCCTAACTCATCATTGTGGAGATCTGTTGCACACACGACTTGTACCCTATGCCGAAACCCGTCCCCAGTACAGCTTACAGCTTGTCAGCAACAAGACCAGTCTTGTGGACGATCAATGTGCGAGCACCTGCCACCAAGTGTCACCCTCGATGACTGTCAGCCAAGTCCGACACCTTGTACAGATTCACCACAGTACCAGTAAAATATAGGATAGGGGGCAAGTATGCCTCGTACCCGTATCCAGCACGGGCCTAAACTTGCAAAAGTCGAGGATTAAGTGCCTCCTTGGAGGGGGAATTGAATCCTTAGTCAACACTATCGTGATTAAGGACTAAGTGCCTCCTCGATAAGCCAAAACCAAAGCCAAGGCCCTCAGAAAAAGGGCCCATTAGTGCCTCATGTGAAGATAACACACTCTCTTTGGCTAAACCCAAGGTTCTCAACTAAGACCTCCACCACAACCTCGAGAGTGGGGGGCACATGATGTAGGCACTTATAGCTCTGGCCAATGGCACGCATGCGCGTGTTGGAAGGTGGCACACAGAGTGGATCCAATAGGAGCATGCGCAAAGTAGAGGTTGGCGCGTAATGCGGGGCCAATAGTGCAGTGGCCTCGGATGGCTGTGCCCTCACGGCTGGACCACATCCTGGCTGGGTGCGTCCACCTACCTCCAGGTGGTATCAAGTATAAATAGGGGGTGACCCCCCAAGGTAAGCATCTTGACTCTTTATTACTAAGAATTTCCTTGCCTTCCTTGTGGCCTCGTCTGAGCATCCCAACCTCAGGCCTTGTCCACCTCTCGTCACACCATACTAACTTGATTGTCGGAGTCTACGCCTCGAGCTAACACCCGGGGCCTCTGATGATCTCTCTGTCTCCACAAGTTTGACATACTAGCCCTCGGCCATAGCGAACCTTGCACTCATCGGTCAACCCTCGGCTAAAAAGTGGATTTACCTTGTTTCCCTCAGCCCATTCAGGCGAGTAACACCTTTTACTCAAGAAGAAACATCGGAAGAGAAAAAAATAAGCAGCAAATTTTTTAAACTATCCCTAAGGTTTTGGAAATTAATTAACTATACCCTTACTATTTTAGTATTGACCTAAAGTACCCTCAAACTTTTTGATAATTGTCTAAAACCTCTCTTACTTTAACTTTCCATCACACTCCATTCACATGTGACATCACTTGACAGATATATTATAAAATTCCTAAAATACCCTTTTATGCTTCCATTCCATTCTCCATCAGTCTCTGTCTCTGACTTTGTCTCTGATTCCAATTCCAATTTCGATTTTGATTTTGTCTTTGTTTATGTCTCTAGCTACTCCGATTATGACTCCGTCTCTGATTTTGATTCAGATTCCGGTTCTTTCTTTATTTACGTCTCCGACTCTGACTCCGATTCTGTTTCTGGTTCTAATTCCGATTCCATCTTCGTCTATATCTTCGGCTCTGACTCCAATTCTGACTCTTTCTCTGATTCCGATTTCGATTCCATCTTCATCTACGTCTCCAGCTCCACTCTATCTTCATTTTTGTCTCTGAGGGCCTGTTCGTTTCCTCTAAACTCTTATCTCTTAAGAAGAATCATTTAACTTTAAGAGAAAATTGGTTGTTCGTTTCCTCTTATCTCTTATCTCTTAAAGTGCAACGATACAACTTTTTGTTTCCCAATGATGCCCTCAAAAAGATAAACAAAAACTCTCATATATGGGGTCAAAATAGATATTTAATAGTTTTCAGAAATCAGAGTTCAGAATTTAGAACAACATTCTCTGCATTCAGAGTTTAGAGGAAAGAAAACTTCACCAATACCAATATACCGCTTAATGTAATTATTACACTTTCAGATGTCAAACTTCAGAGTAAACGAACAGGCCCCGACTCTAATTCCGACTTCAACTCTGCAATTTCTATCAGAGCCCCTCTTACGAGAGAGATAGGATTCAACCTCATCGCCTTTGGATTCCATTGCTGTTAAAATCGATCAGCTCCGGCATCCGTTGAGAGAGAGTGAGTGAGCTACGATTCAATTGGTATTTACAATAGTAATGGCTTCTCCTAATAGTTTCAAAGTTAAAAAAAAATGCAAATAAATAAATTCTCTCATTAACCCAAATTTGGCCACATGAAATACCCAAAACATCTATGTAAATATAATGTACCATCAAACACGCATGTTGTGGAGAAGTTCCTAGAAGGTGGGGAAAATCCTAGTCGTTTGTGACTGGCTACAAATAAAAATCACACAGAGGGCGCCCCACAAATGCACCACATGCACATCTCATCGTGTATTAAGAAAATCTCCCAAAGTTGTCAGTGGGAAATGTTTTCAATACACAGTTAGGATATGTTGTAGGACGTTTGTGGAGCGCAGGTATATGCGAATTTTAGTATCAATGTTTCAAATTTCTGTATGGATGGGCCTAGATTGGGAAGCTTGGGCTTGGGCCTAAGGCCCAATTACTAGGGTTGGGTCTGGATTGACCTTAAATGCTATCACGTTTGCCTAAGTTGCCCCTTTATTTTAGAATCAACCCTTCATCACACCTCCCCTTCTCAAATAACATATTCACACACACACAGATTGGTCAAATCCTTTCGGGTATCATGTCTCTAACCTGAGTTTATATTGGTTGTATTTTCCAACCCTAACCCAACCAAAAAAACTCTTCATGAAATTGACTCAAAAGCTGTGGGAAACGAAGTATTCGTATAGTGTATAAAAAGAACAGGATTCTACTTGCCTAGAAAATAAAAGAATAAGATTCCATTTTTATTTTGGAAGGATAAAAAGAACAATATTCGATTCATTTGGAAAATACAAAAGAAGGTTAACCGAAAAGGGAGAAGATAGAATTAAACGCCTATTTAGTATACTATTTACACATTTTTCTACATTAAGGCCCCCCTATTCAAGCCTATTTACAGATTCCAAGTATTCCAAATAGTAGTTTCCAATTACATAAATATTCAGATTTGTTCTGTCTTCAAGACATATTGCAGTGCTTAGTAGTGTTTACTTGTAAACATTGTTGAATTTTGGATTTTTCTCATACCCATTTACACTGCTTTAGAGTTGAATTTTCGAACCGCCGTTGATCCAGACGGTCAGACCGTTTGACCCGAGAATCATCCAGATAACCGATTCTGTTTTACCCTAAATTTGGTCTCTGGTCAAAAACCGTTGAATGAATCAACGATTCATTGATCTGAACGGGTGAACCGTTGATCCATTCAATCAGTTCAATGGTTTTTGACCTTTTTTATTTGAATTATTTTTAAAATTTTTTGTCAAAATGGGCTATTCATTCGAACTAAATGATTGAACCATCAACTCAAAAACCAGTTGCCAGAATGGTCCAAGTTCCGAATCAGTTTTTAAAACATTGATTTGGGTGGTTGGTAAGATGGCCACTCAATTTTTATTTGAAATGCAACCAATGACATGGCAGAATTATGGGCCATTCATGAAGGATTGTGGCAAGTTCAGTGTAAAGGGTACCCTAATCTCATCATTGAATTCGATTCATTGTCCACCGTTATAGCGATTCAGAAACAGAGATATCATTAGTAGCAAGTGGAGGAGTTATTCCAAAGTACGCTAAGATTCATGTAATGGTGTCAATTGAGAGGATTTGGTCCAACCCGATCCAGTCCAATATGAGTTCACTTATAAATGGTCTAAATCTAATACAAATCAAATCCAATCCAATCTATTAAAATGGCTCGATACATATGAAAATTTCAGACCTTAATAATAAATTTGTTTGTTATTTAATCATAGAAAAAATAGAACAATTTTCGACCTGAAAGATTTCTCGGTAGTGGAGCCTCGTTAATCGTATATATGCCTTCTTAACATCAGAAAAAGAAGTTGATTCTTGGCTAGAAACATAAATTCTAAAGTCTAAGGGCAGTTAATTGGCATCCAAATAATGCAAAGGTATCAACTATGACACTCCAATAACCCTTGATCAGTGAGCTTCCACTACCACTTCACTTATAAATTTGGACCATGTCTAAGCATTTTTTTCAACCAAACTTTGAATCAAGAAACTTGGGTAAGATTTTCTATCCTTGTCCAAAATAATCGCATTATAATCAGCAGGTTTTGTTTCTCTTTTGCTTTAAAGCAAGAGTTCTTTCTAATTAACCGTGCCAACATCCCTACCTTCTCTCGTCTGTTTTTTTTTTTTTTTTTTTTGAGTTGGAAAGGCCTGAAGTCAACTTTCATTCACCTATAAAATCTTGGTTAACAGTAGTCTCACCAGGAGACAAATCAGACTTGAGCAAAAGAGAGATACAAGAGGGAATGTCACCCACCTAAAAGCAATGACCATTGACACCAATTTTAACAAGTTTATGAATAACACGGTTGAATTTCCTCTTAACATGATAAACCAAGACTGAATCAAAGCAGAGGAGAAGCCGGCCACCTGCAGTATATGCGTGTATGGACCACGGTGAGAGGGAAGATTCCTTATTTTGTTGTCATGAATCCATAATTGTTTTCTTCTAAATTAGCTGCATCAAATTAAACTAAGATGGTGGCAATTTGTTTGGAAATTCCAACGATCTGTTTCCTTCAATTGAAGTTGCTACTTTGATGCCATCTATTTATTAGAAGAACTGGGGTTGCTTTGTTGTGAACTTCAATAAAATTGAAATGCACTCTACCATCTATTTATGTGCTAACATTTTTCTTTCTTTCTTTCGGTTTTCTTTTCATTATGAACCAAACAAAACACCAAATGCTCACTCAGTTTCTTTAGCTTCCCAAACAGAAAATGTTCTTTCTTTCTTTGCTTTTGCAAGAGCCCATTATATTCTACATGGATTCTGGCTATGTAGTCTTTAATTTTTATATTTTTTGTAAGATTATTTCAAGGTATGCAATTTAGAGGTAATTGAGTCATTAATTAGTCACTCAATCAAACAAATTTGGATTGGTTTCAGATTGTTGAAATAAAACAGTGTTATTCCATCTTATTTCAATATATATTGTCAGACTTAGATCGGACACACAACCAGAACGCTCTTGGGCTACAATTTTACAGGTGAATTAATTGGGCAGTTGGTCTGTTCATACAATTAACACTGTTTTATGTTATTATAACAACCTGCTCAAGTGTCAATCAGGTCAGAAACTTTTAGCTAGCCATGTTGTATGTATGTATGTATGTATATATATATATATATATATATATGTATATTTGATTGTTTTTCATCCAACAAAATCTTGTTATATACAGATTGAATCGAGGTTCATGAACACAATTTCTAATCTTTAAGAAGAACTAGAACGAGAAAGAATTGTCCTATCCAATGCATTAGAAGAAGCACGTAAGGACCGAACAAAATCAGCCGAGGAAATGGGAAAAATTGTCCAGGAGTTAAGGGACCTCAAGCGTCAGAATGAAGATCTTCAAAACAAATTACTTCAAAAATCGGAACCCTCACTTGGGGAGAAAATAATCAATTTTGCAGTGCCAGCATTGATACCGTCACTTGGAGGTCGACTATTTGGCGCAGCGCTTCGCATGTTTAAATAATTTGTGCAAGATGCCAATTGGGAATTTACATTTGCGCCCTACAGCACATCCCAACTGTGTATTGTGAACATCTCCCAATCACAATTTTCACAGATATTACCAATGCAAGCTGAGATGTGCATGTGGGGCGTAGATGTGAACTCGCCAACCAGTTGGTTGATAAAGTCTCCTACTCGTTGTAGCGGAGACTTAATATCGAATCCCACCTAACTACACCTGGTTGGGGGGGTTATGGGTTTGGGGGATGGGCTACCCCCCCTATTGTGTAGGCCCTTGGAGCAAAATAAGAAGTTTAAATAATTGCAGTAATAATGAAATATATATTAGTGAAAGGGTTCGACTATGATATGGAAAATATATGATATCTGAAAAACTTTTGACCAGTCAATTAGAATCATAAAAGTGGTAGCCAATTAGGTGTTGTTTATCAAAATCATGGTTGCCGATAACGGCAAGGTTAATTTGTGATGAAAGCAATATTTTAAAAAATGAAACTGCTTTTTCCACCGTCAACCAATATCCAAAAAAAAATTTGATCAATCAACCAATATCATAAACCTGTTGTTAACCAATCGGGTGAAATTTAACAAAAATCCGGATTTTGGTTGGTTAAAACTCTTCCCGTATCATGTCTTTCCAAGCATCACAGATTTTCCCTAATAAAATAATTACGTATACAGCAAAAAGGTTACAAAATTTTATTAATTAATCATTAAAAAACTAAACATTACAAAAAGAAAAAAAGTTCAAATGTTATTATTGTGGCTTTGAATAAAGGTATTTAAATTGAGGCACCGTAATTGATTACGTTTAAATCTCCATAAAAGGAATTTGCCAAGCTTTAAGTAATTAGATTGATAAATTGATGGGAGAGAGAGATCTTTGTCAAGTTGGGAGTAAAGCTCCAACATCACATCACATTTACAAGGGATTTTAGGCATCGTTTTGGGGTTCGGTTCTTGGGTTGAATGGTCTGATCATCTAGTTTGAATGGACAATCCATTCTGATAAAATAAATAAAAAAAATAAAAAATTTTAAAAAACCCAAAAAATGTTCAAAAGTCGTTCCTGGGTCAAATGGTTTGACCACCTGGGGTAGTGGTTCATTGACCAAATCAACGGTTTTTATTCAGTTTTGGGGTAAAATGGAACTGGCCAGGTGACCATTCTCAAATTTTCCAATCCAGTCCGATTTTGAAAACATTGATTAAAATCAAAGTTTATTCACAGAATGTACTTTTTAATTTTGTTCGTTTTATAAATTAATCTTCACGATTGTGAACATTTACTTGATTCAAGTTCAAATCAAACTGATAACAATTTGGATGAATTTATTTGGATTTAATCCAACCCAATTTCTATACTAGGCCATTTAAATCCAATTTGATTAGTTTCGATTGGGATTGGATCCAACCCACCAACAGTCGAATTCTGTTCAATTCCGTATAGAACATGTTGCTTTTACCAAACAAGGGAGTCGCTTTCAATGATGAGTATATGGATCAGTGCATTGTGAATTGCTCTTGCTTTAGCAATTAGGTTATAACTATGGTCGTACCAAGAATGGAAGGCAGTCCTGACCTTACCATAATGATTCCATTAGAGTACTCTATAATTTCTTCGGCTGTCTTGAGTGGTTATCTAAGAGGTGTATATGGGTACTAGTAAGACCCATTCCCTTACCAATAAATAAGTTTGGAAAAATTGGTTAATGGATATCTTTTTTTAATTAACCAACTTTATAATATTCTTTTTGTATTTATGCCCCATGGTAAAATAAATTCCACTTTCCTAGGTAAAATTTACTCATCTTTCAAGTGGTTAAGTAACTTTTCCACGTGGGGAAAAATTTTATAATGCATAATGGGTCAACTTTGCCTATTTTTATATTAGCTTTTTATGAGAAAATTTCATTTTGTTATTTACCTGAGAATCCTAAAAATCAAAAGAACATGGGTAAGTGCATTTACCTAAGTAAATGTTACTCAGGAAACATTTATCTGGATAGGTGCATTTACCTAAATAAATTACAAAGATGCAAACAAATGAGGCCTAATAATAAAATGAAAATAGAAATATAAATTTTAAGAGAGACTAATTTAATTGTAAGAAATTAACAACATTTGAGAGAAAGTAATTTAATTATAAAAAATAACATAGAAACCACTAATAACAAGTAAAGTTAGAGAAATAAAATAAATGTAGAAAATTGGACTTATCAGTTGAGGCATATCTAGGACATTGTCCTTAACACCTTAAAAATCACTGCTTGAGAAGTTCCGTGCATATAGATATACTAGAAGGGACCTGTGTAATGCACGAGATTTAGTAAGAGAAAGCTAAATAATAAAAATGGTCATACACTAAAATACCCCATATAGTTTTAAGGATTTACTAAATCTACCCTATAATTAGCATTTTACTAAAACACCACTTATAATTTGCAATGACTTTAATCAATCTTTCATTAGATGACAAGTGGAAAATGACAGTGTTGACCCTAATGTTCATTTAAATAAATTTAATCAAAAGAAAATAAAAATAAAAATACCATTTTTNTCCAATTCTATCTTGCTAAGAATAAGATAAGCTAATCCTAATCTGATAATAAGATAAATTAATCCTAATATGATAACAAGATAAACTAATCCTAATATGATAATAAGATAAACTAATCCTAATTTGATAACTTACTAACAAGATAAGATAAGAGCAATAGAATAAGATAAGAACAAGCAAGATGATCTAATCTAATCTGGCGGTGGGTCAGGTTCCTGTTGYTKTCGGCGGCGATGGTACGTCTTTCCGAGGAATGCGTCCGTAACATTACTCCCCTCTTAGACTACGAGCTTGTCCTCAAGCTCAAACTCCGGATATGTGGCTTGGAACTTTGTCAATGGGATCCATGTGGCTTCAGCTGATGGTAAGCTACACCATTTCACCAAGACTTCAAGAACTCCTTGATTGAAACGAGAGTGAATGACAGCTTTAGGTTGGGGAATCAGTTTGCCATCTTACAGGGGTGGCAGGGAGGGGACTTGGTCCGGAGGAACACCCGTAAATGGTTTCAGCAAGGCGATGTGGAAGACATCATGAATCCGGCTGGTCTTTGGCAGTTCCAGCCGGTAGGCCACAATGCCAATCCGTCGTAAAACCTTGAAGGGCCCATAGGACTTAGGGGCCAGTTTCGGGGCAACTATACTAGTACTAGTAATAGCTGCTCGGAGAAGCTGTTGTTGCTGTTGTTGATCATGTTGTAGCTTCTGCTGCTGTAGTTGTTGCTGTTGTTGGTTGTCTGGCTGCTGTGGCTTAGGGTGTTGCTGCTGCTATGGACCAAGAAGAGTCTGGCTGCTATGGCTGAGGGTGTTGCTGCTGTTGTGGACCAAGAAGAGTTTGCTGCTGCTGCTGTTGTTCGCCGGACGGCTCCGTTAAGTCTGGTTGGAGGCTGTTTGTGGTTACAGACCCTTATGGATTCCTCTCCCTGTTAGAGAAATACGATTCCAACAAGCGTCGCAGCTCCCAGACATCGTCTTTGACCTCACGAACCTCCATGCTGGTTTCTGCTAGCCTATGTTCCAGTTCGTGGACCCTGGAAGACAGCGGCTCCTGTTCCCCCATGACAGTAGGCTCTGATACCAAAATGTTATGGGCCCTAGCGTAGGATCTTGTCATGGGTTGGTCTACGGGGAGAACTCCTAGCTTCCCCTTGCCCCTCCCTTTGCGAGCAGACCCTACGGTGGCGAACTGAGGTTGATTTGTTCTAGAGATCACCTAACTCTCCTTTACTCTCTTTCTTGACTGAATATTAGATATCATCATTCAATAATGGTGTCTCCTTAAATAGGAGATTACAAGAGTCCTAATCTTAGGGAGTCTCCTTGYTGAATAGGGAGACTTCCAATTCTATCTTGCTAAGGATAAGATAAGCTAATCCTAATCTGATAACAAGATAAACTAATCCTAATCTGATAATAAGATAAACTAATCCTAATCTGATAACTTACTAACAAGATAAGATAAGAGCAATAGAATAAGATAAGAACAAGCAAGATGATCTAATCTAGTCTGACGGTGGGTCAGGTTCCTGTTGCTGCCGGCGGCGATGGTACGTCTTTCAAAGAAATGCTCTTACGCATGTGAACCATGACAATGGTGAAGAAGACCATTAAAACATATAGAGAATTGTTCATTGTCTGTTGTTGTTGTGATGCAGGAAATTCTCAACAATGTAAGCATCGAGCAGTACTCTTTGATAACAACACTAAGGATCAAAATAAACGGGATTTGTAAGTTAGAAAATTGATCTCCCTTGTGGACAAGGTCGTTAAGGATAATGGTGGACAACCATATACAAATGACCTGCTTATGAAATTGCATGTAAGGATTATATTAAGGTTGTGTTTGGTATATTATTGATTTTTCAATAACCTATACCCACGTTGTAATAAGTTGAAACATCATTTACACTTTTACACTTGAAATACAAAGACTATCACTGTTTAAATTTGAATTTTGTTTGGTAAGAATTGTATCTTCTTGCATATCCATGTCCCTTGCATAGAGAAAAGTGGTCTATGACTGTTTTAACTCAAAACAGTCTCAAACCAAATAGAAAATTGGTCATACATTAATCTCAAAACACTAATGCATGTGGCGCTGACGATTCAGCAGTCTATATAATTAGTACAATCAATGTTTGTTTGACAGAGAGCAATTCAGTGGAAACATATCCAACTGGAAGAAGCTAAGTCCAAGGGGTTAAATGAAAAGGAAATATTAATGATGCAAGGGAAGGTGCAGAAGGCATATGATGAACAACTCATACAAGTAAGCAAATGGTAAAATTTGATAGATCCTTCAATGTTCATTGAGTGGCAGATATTGGACTAGTAGCTAGCTAGAAATTAAGTAATGAATATAATAGTAGTAATTGCACAAGTCTTGATACAAGGAAAGTCAATTAAATTTGTGTTATGTTTGTGCCTTTAATTCTTTGTAGCAACCAGTTTCATGAATTCGTTCCGAATTATTTTGAGAAAATCCAAAGTCAAAATTTCATAGTGGTTTGTGGTGGATGCATCCATAGTCCACCACAAATCACCATTAAGAGTGCGGGGGCACCGCCCCCATGGTGGTATGGACCCGATCCATATTCATCTTATAGCTCCGAACCGAATACGAAGAGTTATGTATTTCTAGGGGCTTTCTCTCTTGTATATGGGTGAAGGAAAGGGGGCTTTCCTTCATCTTGGGTGAAGGAAGGACACTACAAGGAAGGGGACCTCGTCCTCAGAAAAGTTATGGTGCCCGAGCCTAGTGTGGGCAAGCTCGG